GCACAATGACAGTAGGGCAACAAGCCTAGCCTTAGTGATTAGGCTGGGTAGGTGGTACAGCCACATAACTTCTCTTCCACGCTTGACAGACTAGGACTTCCTCTCTAAATACGCCCTCTCTCACATTGAAGGGGGATCATCTCTTCTACTCATTTCATATGTTGTTACTCTGCCTCTGTGTAGAGTCATTCTATCCTGACACACACTACCCTTGCACCATGGGAAGCCTCATTTGAGCTTTGGTCTCTACCATTGCTATTATGAGCACCTCTATATCAATATACTCACCCTCATAAGACACATCCATGAACTACTGCAGTTCTTTATGTACCACTAATTGTACAAGTTTAGAGATAGAAAACACTAAGTGTTAGAGATGGAAGACTTAAGGCCTATTTGAATTCTGTCTTCAAAAACAGTTTTTTGATTTTCAAAATAAAATAATAATAAAACTTGTTTGATAAAGCCTATTTTAAAAAAGATATTTTAAAAGTTATAATTGTTTTTTGTTTTCAGAGTCAAATTTAGATAACATGTTTAAGTTGTTTTTATTTTGTATTTTGACTTTTAACTTTCAAAACAAAAAAACCCATAGAAAACACTTGTTTTATTAAATATTCTATAAAATAGTTTTAAGAATAAAAAGAAAAACAGAACACAATCAAACAGGCCCTTAATTGTCATCTCCATAAAGATAAGACAATGACACATGTTAAAGACGGCAAAAAATCTATTGTAAAAAGATTTCTTATGCTTGGGAATTGGGTTTATAAGATAGGCTAAGTATGGAAACACCTTTGCATTGCACAGAGATATGACATAACTAAAAATATAAAGCCATGCTTGTGAAAAGTATTGAGAGAGGTATGTTATATGAAAATGATGTGATAGGTTTTTTGCATTCTTATTGTGTGATATTTATTTTAATCTTACCATGATTAATTTACTAAGCCATGGAATGATTTTCCCATACAAAGTTATAGTTGAAAACACTAACTTTTTCAAAATTTAGAATTATTTTCATCGGGGTCAATATCTTATTAAGTATGTGCTTTCAGATTTTGAAGATCAAGATAAAATGTTGAGTTAATTTTTATTCAAGACAAAAATTATAATGTTTCAGTAATTCAACTATAAAGATTTATATTATTAACATGATCTTCATTCCACTGTGATATTTACCTTTAATAGACATGTTTTATACTTGCACTGTAGGGCATATATATGCCATAGATAAACTTTTTTCTTTCAATATATAAGTTAACGTATCTCATACTGATCAATCCAATAACTTATTAAGTCTGGTCCATTGGGTGTCTGAGTCTTTACTGGAGCTAGTGCTACAGGATGAAACTCCTCTGAGATGTACGTCTGAGCAGCAAGATGCACTGCGAGATGAAAAGTCTGGCTCCAGTACTTAGTATTGATTGGAAAGACTGGGGGAGTTACCTGTAAGGCACTTTGACGATGATCATATCTAGTCTTTAAGCCTCTGTTTATATAGTCGTTGAATGTCCTAGTTATGTCGTCTTAATGTGGTGTTATTCAATTCTATTGGTGGGCATGAGTGGCCTCTGTAGGTGGCCTCCTGTTTTGGATGTCTAATGTTGGGCTATGTTCCGTAGATGTAGTTGTATGCTTGTTTTTGTCCCTTAGCCACTGGCTATTAAGGAGGTCATAGAATCCTTAGTTGTTGATGTCATGCAGCCGCAATTAACTGAGCAACTAATATCATGTATCAAAGTGTTTACAAGATTGCTAAGGCACACGAGATGGCCACGTTTCCTTCTCCTAGAAGTAATAGTCATTGGTTCTCTTAGGCCTTTCACTAGTTAGGCCTCTAATCCCGTGTGGGATAGGTCTAGATCAAATATCAATATTATTATTTATAAAATTGTTTTTGGTAAGAATTCTACTCTTAAATTTCTTACAATATATGCATATGTAGAGTACTTTAATAATGGTCCTTGCTAATAATTAGTACATCAATGATGGTCCTTGGTAATAATTTAGGGATGTTACAGATTGCTTAGGATTGGAAGTGTTGTAATGATTAAACCCTTTTCAAAAAACATGTTAATAATATTTTCATTTTTAAATTTCCTGCTTGCCTAAATGGGGAATTTGATGAGTCCTATCGCCATATCATTGGGATAAATCCTTTACCTTGGTAAAAGAAGTATTTTCTAAAGTTCATAGTGAAGAAATTCTCTGACATGTTATGTTAGGCAAGAAAAATGTTGGTGATACTTCCATTGAGCCCTCAACTTTAGATATTGTGAGTAAGTCTAAGTATAAGTTGATAATCAGGGGGAGAGTGTGGGGTATGATGGCTATTGGGGTTGTATTCCAGCTATATAACAATAAGGTGAGTGAGTGTGTAAATGGTGCCTCCCAAATAGTAAGAGAAGTATTTATAGGTGGAGAAGATTTTTTAATGATGAGAGAGTGTGTCATAACCATTTCTGCCATTATGGGGCCCACAAGGTATGAGGAAAGCATTCTCACCTGGTGCATGAATTGCATGTGCATGGAGTGAGATCAGGTGTGTTGCGGTAATATTTATCTCGGTTTAGGGATGTAGGGACATATTCCCTTTAATGGACCTAAATGGACTAGACCCGTGTGGTTGGTCGAGAACACCAATTATCTTTATGCTCTTATTAGTATTGGTTTTTCTACTTCATGGATTGTTAATTCAGGAGCTTCTACTCATATATGACACATTAGTCAAATTCATTCAGTTCTTATTCTCCTTGCACGAGTAATCATGAGATTAAGATAATTTTTTGGACTACTTCACTCGTGATTAGTACAAAAAATCCCAACAACCTTGGAATTAAATTTTTTTTTCTATGTCCCTATACTTTTGTTAACATTTTAATTGTTCATAAAGCTTCCAAAGTTTTTAAGTGTTTCGTAATCTTTGATGTGTTTGATTGCGTGTTTCTAGATAAACTATTAAGGAAGATGATTGGAACTACTAAGAACATAAACAGAATAGCGGAATAATGCAATGTTATGGTTATCCTAATATTTCTTCTTTAAACAATTTTTTTCTTTTTCACTTCTACTTTTAAAGTATTAATTGTTCAATAATGAATTATGATGTTTGCCATCTCAAAAAAATAGCAAGTAAAATTATCATCTTTAGGGCTAATTAATTTAGATACAACCACATGATAAAAGGTGTAGAGGTTGTATGAATCAATGTTGCATCGACACTGACACGGAACATGACATAACAATTCGACACATTAATTTAAAAAATGTTAGATTTCGATATATTAGAACACAATTTCATATTCAATAATTTAACAAAAAATGAAACTAAACTTATATTACCCATCAATTTTGTAAAGAAACATAAGATGTAAATATTTACTATTATATTTTCAAATTGAAAATCTCTTATAAACTCTATTGAGATTTATTCGGTATCTATTTTTAATTTTTATTATATCAGTTTGGTAAAACATCAATAAATTTTTTTCATGATATGTAATGAAATTTTAAATATTATAGATGTTGGAGCGTGTTAGAGTGCCGATAAGTGTCGGACATGATATTTCAAAAATTTTGAAGTGGGAATGTAATATAGGTGTGAATGTCAATGCTCATTGGTAGAGCTATCTTTGGTGATTAAAGGAAGAAAAAAAATGTGGCTACTGTTTATCGCTCTTATTTTCCTTGCTCAGCTATACTCTTGGAGTTCGTAAATAATGCTATTATATCAAAATTAATTTAGCTTCCGCAAGACAATGGAACAATTTCCCTATAGATCTCTATTTTGCGTGCCAAGTGCTATTAATGTTTTGAGTAAAGTAATTTTTAGTTACTCAATAAATATTATGGATCCAATTTAATCTCTTAAAAAAAAATTTGTGATCCCATTGAAGTTCAAAATAGACTCATGTTAATCCTTTTCAGGAACTAACGTGAATTTTTTTTGAATTTCAAAAAGACCACAATTTCGACTAATTGAATCTATTTTGAATTTCAGAGAGATCGCAAATCAATTTTTTTCTCTAAAGATTTAAAATGATCCTAATGTTTTTCACGAAGTAGAAAATAAAGTGCAAACATTTAATTAATTAGCTTGTATAGGGAAAATTTTAATATGGTCCCCGACCATATAATATTTTTGTGCTCCCTCTCATATAACTTTTCCATTTTACCCCTATTTTTTTACCTATTTTTTCATTTTACCATCCCTACTTAACTAAGGCAGCAGGTGCGGAGCCCGTTTGTTTGCACTTTTGAAAAAAGTAACTTTTATCTCTTCTTTATTTAGAAGTTTTTTTTACAAAAGTTGAAGCTATTTATATTTTTATAAAAATATTTGACTTTTGACTTCTGTTTTTTTTAGAAGTTAAAATTTTTAGCTTCAGAAAAAAGTAAGTTTTTGACTTTTTTTCTGACTTCTACTTTTTTTAAAAGCAGACATCCAAACGCACTAAAAATAAAAAGTGCTTATTTTAAAAAAAAAAAAAAAGTAATTTCTGAAGAAAAAAAATCTCATCCGAAACAGGCCGTACGACTACACAATTAAAGCTCGTCTATAGATAGCATGGATGGTTATATTTTCCAAGTGAGTCTGTTTACAGGAATGTGATGGTTACCTAATTACATAAACTAGCAATGAGATCGATGCACATGGTCCACCATCAGTCACACTCGTCATATTTACCAGTGTCTGACTTCATATATCTATTAAATAGATTTCATATATCTATTAAATAGATATAGCCTATCCAAAATCATAGATGGCGATTTCTTATTGGATTGAAGATGTATTTAATATTTAATGATATTTTTGTGGATATTAGATATGTTGGTAAGGAATGGAAAACAATTCAGAAGCGATAAGTGGTATGAGAAGAAGCAAGTGGACAAAAGCAATGTTCCGAACCAATAGAAACTCAGATATATAGATCTCATAAGATAAGTACCTCATTCGTCTTTGAAGCCATATATAAATAAGACCCATCTAAGCTAACCGAAACTACAGCCATCTATCCTTAAGCTTTTCAGTTACAGAGTTTTCCATTGATTGCTACTATAATTGTACAATGGCTGCTTCAACAATGGCACTCTCTTCTCCATCTTTGGCTGGGAAGGCAATCAAGCTTTCCCCATCCACCCAGGAGCTTGGCACTGGACGGGTCACCATGAGGAAAGCAGCAACATCCAAGAAGCCCGTTTCTTCTGGAAGCCCATGGTACGGCCCAGACCGTGTTTTGTACTTGGGCCCATTCTCTGGTGAGCCTCCATCATACCTGACTGGTGAATTTCCAGGTGACTATGGATGGGACACTGCTGGGCTTTCAGCAGACCCAGAGACATTTGCAAAGAACCGTGAGCTGGAGGTGATCCATTGCAGATGGGCCATGCTGGGAGCCCTAGGGTGCGTGTTCCCTGAGCTCTTGGCCCGAAATGGTGTGAAATTCGGTGAGGCAGTATGGTTCAAGGCAGGATCACAGATATTCAGCGAGGGTGGGCTTGACTACTTGGGTAACCCAAGCCTAATTCACGCACAAAGCATCCTTGCCATATGGGCTTGCCAAGTTTTATTGATGGGTGCCGTTGAGGGTTACCGTATTGCGGGTGGGCCTCTGGGTGAGGTGACAGACCCACTTTACCCAGGTGGGAGCTTTGACCCATTGGGCCTTGCTGATGACCCAGAGGCATTTGCAGAGCTGAAGGTGAAAGAGATAAAGAATGGTAGGTTAGCAATGTTCTCAATGTTCGGATTCTTCGTTCAGGCCATTGTCACTGGAAAGGGTCCCTTGGAGAACCTCGCTGACCATCTCGCTGACCCTGTCAACAACAATGCTTGGGCTTATGCCACTAACTTCGTCCCTGGAAAGTGACCAAAAAAACAAATGAGAAATGACCATCACTTTCAAATCTGAGTGTGAATTTCATTTTGTTGTTTGGTGAAATATATATTGGAATGCTTGGAATTGGATTGTGCCTTTGCAGAGAATGTGAATTATATATATATATATCTATTTGGCCCATTTAAATTATTGATTGGAAGAAACTTGTAGATCAATACATCGTGCAAGATACCCCTTAAATCCCAACCCTTTGTTATCAAAAAAAAAAAAAAAAATCCCAACCCTTCTGCAGTCCTATATGAATGCACATAAGTAAATATTTGCACTATGCCCCATTAACACAAGACTACAAGCAAAGAAAAGACAATAACTAATAAGACAAATTGCAAATACAAATTTGTATATGGAATCCATTTCTGCAATTTACAGGCTACAACTATGCTTGGTTGAAGTTGAAAGCACACTCAATATTTTATCTTCAGAGGAAATTTTTGGTACCAAATTAAATATCTTGTAATTTAGTGATAATGACTAACCTGGCTTCCAAGAGAAGGAACAATTTTGAAGGGTCCACTGTGAATCAATTACACCAAGTTTTTCATGCGCTGGCTGCCAAAACCAAACACGCAAGGATTGATTCACATTAGTAAGCCACTTAAAATAGTTTTCCTGTTCTGACATGATTTTATTGACGTGATGACTAAACAACCCATATTTAGCAAAAAATATACAGGCTTTTTCTTACCTTTGGAAATTTCTTGAATCAATTGTTAATTGGTTATTTACAAAATAACCTATGTTGAAAATAAATTTAACATGATTATATCATCTAAGAAGATTTTAACTATCAATAAATAAATCACCGGTGATGATTTCATAATCTTCAATTCCAATATTTTTTCTATCTTTTCTTTTATCACAATTGATTCGTCCTTGTATGATATAGACCATATCTTTCATAATATTACATTTATAGTGGGAGACCAACAACAACTACACATCATATATAAAAAATGTAAAACAATTAATAAAAAAAAAACTTCTATGGCTAAAATTAAGTGTAAGACTTATTATTCTTACACCGGTGCAAGCTAACCATGTCCCATATAATATATATGGATTTAATATTTCTGCTTTTTTACTTTACAAAAAAATTTCTCCCAGACTCACATAAAAATGAATGAGTTCTATCAATATTTTCCTCTCAGTTTTCTTTATAATAGGATCCACTCACTTTTTATGAATGAGGTAGAAAAAAATTTCTACAACAAAAACAAAATTATTTTTCCACATAAATATATAAAATCTTATCTCACCAATATAAGCTTTTGAATTAAAATAATTTTTTTACATGATTACAAGTTTGATCTTTATCATCTTTATTCTATTAATAAATAATTAAATATTATAAAATTTCTTAATACAGGTAAAAGGTATGTACAAAACCAGATCATACCAGCCCATCAATCGGTCTGATTTATTTTCCTCAAAGCGGTTTTTAAAAATTTGTACAAAATATGTGACATTGTCGGTGCTAGAAGTCAAACCCTTGTCATGGAAATGGATAATATAGTACTTACCACCTCAGATACCACACGGGATTTTTTTAAAAAGTCGGACATGCTCCGACACGTTTGATACGTGGTCAATATTTTGGGACACGCGGTCAACATTATGACACGTTCCGACACATTTTTTTAACACGCAGTCAACTTTTTCCGACACGTGATCAACGCTCGAACACGTTTTTTTTTTTTTTTTAATCTTAATTTTATTTTATTAACTAAAAATAAAAAAAATTATTTATAAATTAATTTTTTTTGTTATAAAATTTGACATGAAAAATTAAAAAGGTACGAAAAATTATTATTTTTTATATTTATGTTATGAAATTTGAATATTTGATTGGTTATATGACTTATTATGAACTGTTATATGTATTAAATATAAATTATATTATATATATTAAAAATATTATTTAATATCAAAATGTGTCCCAACGTGTCGAAATATGTCATTTTTTAGAATTAACGTGTCAGCGTGTCGTGTCCCGTGTCAGTGTCTGTGCATCATAGCTTACCACTAGGCTACACTTTATTTTTGGTTAAAGTTGAACCAATAACTCATCCAATATTTCAACTAAGTCAATGACCAATTCAAGTTTAATAATATTGCTTCAAACCCAATAAACTCTTATATAAGGTGTTAGAAAAATATAAAATCATTAATATAATATCTCATAATTTGAAATTTTAGGTTAAAATAATTCTTTACATAATCATTAGCATGCTCTAACCCATTTAACCTAATTTTCACTTGGTAAAGTAAAATTAAAAAGGCTTCCTGTAAGATTTCATCAAAGCATATAATTCGTTAATCACTGCTTCAACAAACCCAGCCCAAACCCAGCGAGTTGGCATGGCAATGAGCTTAAAGTTTTGCATGGCTTAGAGGTGAACTAGCACAGACTCAACGAGGTGACTCAAAATGGCAAGTTAGAAGAGCTGAAAAAGTTTTGAATCTATAAAGATGCTCCACGACTCATCCTTGACAATCCTGTGAAAAATGGCAGAGTCATGGCACCATGAGGAATATTAACTGCGCTTGCTAGCAGACAAGGTAACTCTAGGTTGGACTAAAATGGCACTTTAGGTGTTGAGCTCACCTCTTCGCCTGAGTTCTTCATTTCTAAGCCTTTTTGCGTTTCTTTTATAATGCTTGTATTGAAATTTTAATTTCAAAAATAACAATCAAAAGAATTTTTTTTATAAATTAAAAGGAATTAAATAGATGCAGTGTAATCTCCCTACATTTCAAATTTTAAATTGTGAAATAACTCCTAAACACTAAGTGTCATGGTCCACAAAAATCCATCCTCAGGGTAGCCCATGCTCATCCAGTTACCTGTTCTTGGACTTCAGCATTTGCCACAAACTGCCCAAAAATTTGAGTTCATACAAATGAACCCAAAGAAGACTCAAAGCATAAAACATAACACAGAACAGCACAGCTACTTCTTCCAGTGCCTATTCTCAATGGCTATGTACACCATTTCAGATAAACATTCATATCTTAGGTTATCCATATAATTTAAAGATGATCTTGCATCCGCGTAATACCCAGGCATTGATTTCCGTTAAAATCCACGCAAAGACAAACACCACTGAGATGCACCAACTGTAGATTCCCAATATTCATCCAAAAATTAGCCTAGCCCATCCACAACTTCAACATTTTATCCTTACCACCAGAGGCTACCTTCTCTCCATCTGGACTCCAATCAACCGAAAAAACCTTTCCCGCAAAAAAAATGGAATTAGGTTAGCCACCAGAATGGGAAAAAAAAATTAGAAATTTTAAAGTTTTTGGTATGTTAAAAGACATACTTCATCAGCATGGCCTGGAAGATCTTGCTTCAACTTACGGGTCCGAATATCCCAAACCTTGAAAACCAAACACAATGAAATGTCAAAGTTCTTGTTTTGCAGATGATATTTGATGTATTCTAAAGTACAAACCAAGCTAAAAATGTTCACTGATCCTTTTACACACCCTTTATTGAAAGGAAAGGAAAGGAAAATTATGCTTACCTTAAGTGTAGAATCTTTGCTGCCACTTAAAAGAAGTCTACTGTCTGCAGACCAGCTGTATAGTAAAGCCAATAAACTTAATTACAATTCTAAATGAAAATATCTTTACTTCCAGTTCGAAATAAGATGGAACCACTTATATTGTACCTGATCTGGTAGACAGGCCCAACATGGCCACGAAAGGCAGCAACAAATTTCCCTGTAGTGCCATTCCATAACTTGACAGATTTATCAAAAGATGCACTTGCCACCCATTGCCCATCAGGTGAAAAATAGACATGGTTCACAAGCTGTCAGCAAACAAGTTCAACATATAGTGTTAAGCCTAAACTAAATGATTGAATATGTATATAAACAAAATTGTAACTTTGTGATTAAATCTGGATAACAATAAAACCAATTTCAACTACAGACTGATAGAACTCCTCCTATTGTGCGAGTTTGCCCTTTCTTCCTAGTGTGAACTAGCACTATTGGGAAGTTCTATCACAGACACAGCAACAAATAATAGGAGACAGACATCTGCAAATATATATAATTATAATCTGGATAAACAAGCTGTAGGCCTCAAAGAGTTTGGACCTCAGGCTGCCCAAGAAAAGGATCTTCATAGGTTTATTAGAACTTCTAATTCTACCATTTTTTATGAGTACCAAGAAACCGTATGATACAACATTATCATTATGCTGTACTTTAGGAAGAGGTCTAGGGGATCTCTTGCCCCTAACCGACCCGAGTCAGCAAGGGAGAATAAATCCGATTCTGTTAGAGGGGAAAAGAGTTAGGATTTGGAGGGAATGAGGGAAGGCACCACTCTTGCTGCGGGGTTCGAACTGCATTGGGGAGAGACCAGACCTCTCTAATCGTTATGGACTATTTTCTTCTATGTAGCACCGACACGTTAAAAATCCTAAAGTGTCGTGTCCGACATGCTCCGACATATTCTGACATGGTGTTTGACACGCGGTCAATATTCCCAACCTGTTGACCAGTTAAACAAGCATGTCCGACACATTGACCACCGTTTCCCCTCTAGGTGTTCCTCAACAGGTTTTGTTCTTCGCTCTTCGCCCTTCCCTTCCATTTGGGTCACTCTACTTCATGCAAATACCAACAAAAGGAGCGAAGAACATAAAGAAGGCAAACCCCAGAGCCAAAAACACAGCAATAGCCACCACCTTCGCAAAGATTCTTCAAAATGAACAAACCCCACGAAACAACAAAAATAAATTGTGCAAACAGATTCAAAATTTACACCTACCTGAGGAGGATGGTAAGGTAGCTATCATCCATGCTTCCTCACTTTTTTAAGGAGTAGTACAGAAAGTACAAAAAAGAAGAAGCACAAATGCAGAAAAGAGAGGGCACCGACTAAACAGAACAACTACAGGGGACTGTTACTTTTGTTTTTTCTCCAACATTTTCATTTTATTAGGGGTAAAGACAAGACACTTATTCACTTTTTGGGTTTTCTACTCTTTGTATCTGCTGCTGCCTGCTACTGCTTCTAGCGGCATTACCTTTTCTAATGTGTCAACACTGCAACCAATGGTTGTTCGCTTCTGCTTTTATGATTGCCAATAACCTTGTTTATAAAGCTTCTCTCTTCAACTTTAATCTGTTTTATTACTAGAAAATGGATACCGAATAAATATCACTGGAGTGTATCAGAAATTTTTAATTTAAAAATATAATAGTAAATATTTACATCTTGTGTTTCTTTGCACAATTGATAGGTATTATCAGTTTAGTTTTATTTTTTTATTTAATTATTGAATATTAAATATAATATACATTATATAAATTCAAAATATTATTTAATAATAAAACATGTCCCAACGTGTTGAAATTCACATTTTTTTAGAATTAATGTGTCGGAATATTGCAGTGTCATGTCACGTGTCAGTGTCGGTGCTACATAGATTTTCTTTTCCTTTCAGCAGTACTTTCATTTCCTTGTAATTTTCTACCTCCGTTTGGTGGATTGTAAGCGACCCTTGCTGAGTACCATTTGACTCAGTAGGCATAGTATACAAATTTTCCTTCCGTGCTCTAAATTTTTCTGTTCATTTTCTCTATAGTACCAATCACTGTACTACATCAGAGAAAATTCTTTCAAAGTCTACAGTACTACTCAATAACACTGGTACAAACTGAAGTCACATTGCAATTTGAAGAAAAGATCATTTTGGTTGATTCTCATTGACATTTTAAAATTGTACAGGAAGTTATAGGAAAAAAGTTGTACCTGCTGATGACCTGTCATGCGAGTTTTGGGATGCTTGCTGATGAAGGGTTCCCAAAGAAACATGGTGAAATCATCAGATCCAGATACCAATCTTTCAGGGGCATTGCCTCTCATTGTTTTGTACCTTTCAAGAGCAACCTACATTCATCCGCAGCATGCACTGGTATTAGTAAAATAGAGATGGAAGAAAATGTTCCCAGTGAAAGGAACTTGTAAAAGTCAAAACCAGAGAGAGGGAGCGAGAGAAATAAAATATTCAATGGATTGAAAGTGACAATTACTCAATAACTATGAATGCAAAATAGACAACTAAAAGGAGAAAATAAACGAGAGATCAATCTTACCCTCAAGGTCCAAAATAATAAATAGCAGAAATTAAATATATATGCATGTATATATATATATACATATACATATATATATATATATATATGAGATTAATGTTCCTCGTGTTATAAGAGATAATTTTATCTCCTAAACACATATAAAAGTGTGTAGGACCCTTTTTTTTTCCTCTCTCTCTTCTTTTCACATAGGCCCTACATACTTTTATGTGTGTGTAGGATATATAATATATGTATATATATATATAATCTAAAATACGGGTGTGACAAAAAGCATCCTTCTCAGCTCAGAACCATGTAAGTCATGATACCCAATGTTGTTGAAATCGAGATTTTACATAAGATCGGAAGGGTGTAACAAGATCGTAAATCATTGAATCGAGACAAATCGTAATATCCTACATTTTTTATTTTAATTATAAAAAAAATATTTATAAATATAAAATAATATTTAAACCACAACTTCAATCATTAAAGATTAAAATTAGATAGATTACCAAAAAAAAAAGAAAGATTAAAATTAGATTGAATCTTCTCCTTAGTAATAAAATAAAAGGGTCATAATAAAATAATAATGACATAATATATAAAATAATGCATAGAATGCCAAAACACAAAAGCGAGAAATAGGAATAAATATATGGATTTCATATTTCATCGTACAGTGAATTGGGAAATAATAACAGGGTATGTGTAATTATATAAAAAAAATAAAAGGGTCATAAAATGATAACAATAAAACAATAAAAAAAATCAAACATTTAGAAACAGACAGATGGGTTTCATTTCACTGTACAAGGAACGAGATCTGAGGATAACCAAAAAATAAAAACGGAACATCAACCAGGTAACAGAGCACAACGGTTTGGTCCTAGACTCACACCACTGGGTTTCGCACCACAGTACCAAAAGCAGAGACTCGCAGTCACTGTCACTAGAGAGAAGGAAGCAATCGCAAATCTGATGGTCTCTTCAAGTCTTTGACAGTGTAAACAAAGTTTTTCGTTTTGCGCCATTACACCAGAATCAGAGACTAGCAGTCATTTTCACCAGAGAGAAGAAAGCAATCGCAAAATGTGAGTGTTCTGTTCAAGTTTTTGAGTATTTTTCAATTTTGGGTCATGGGTATTTTTAGTTTTCCACATCAGAAGGCAAACAGGTTTGAAATTTTTTATAAATCGTTCCAACGGTGATATGGCACGATCCTACCGTCTTTACGCAGCTCTTGCTCGTCGATCCCGTACGATCTTGATTCAGACCGATTTTATGCGCAATTTGAATCGGCCAGGGTGAGAAAATCGTAGGATCATCCTACGTTTTAACTCGCGATTTCAACAACACTGATTATACCATATGGAAGGCATCAAGCAGAACCAGAGTTCAAACTTCGAAGCATACAAACTTAAAATGTTAAATTAGTCTTTAAAAAATAATATTTCTTAAGAATAATTTTGATTGCGGGAACAAGTACTGTTTTAAAAACCAGACCAGCTCCCACTTGAATCAGTCAAACCATAATAGTTCATCCAAGATTTAGTTATACTACAAATTCAACCAATTGAACCAACTGAACCATACCTGGAGGTCTTGCTGATTCAATCTCTGGTTTGGTTTTAAAATATTGGGTACAAGTGAAAATTTCAAAAATTTAAAATAAATTTTTAATAAATAAATAGGTGTACACTATTAGAATTTCAGAACTTCTATTGTTAATTTTTTAATGACTACTGTTTTAAGCATCTTCTTTAAATATACGGCAGTAAAATACTACTTTGCTGCGTACAAGAATTTTCCTACACCCCACACTCGCTAGTCGGGTTTAACGGGGAGTGGTTCTTTTAAAAACATTCTCATTTCGAGGATAAAGTGAATAAAATATATTGCAAGCAAGTTGCCTGTTAGCATTACAGCTTGCCTTTCATTATGAAGAGCGGGGTTTGATCGCTGAACCCTTTTTTTTTTTCGAGAAGTAATGCAACCCTCCCAGTTAAATCATTCTACACACCTGCCCAGACTGGGTTTGGTTACCAATCTGAAAAGCCAGGGCAGGTTTAGTAACTGTTAGAAATAATATTAATTTATTATTATTAGAATAGTCTAGAATAGTCTAGATTGTGGGCTTGGCCCATTAGGTCATCCCATTAGGTCTTTTAGTCTCTATAAATAGAGAGCCTCCTTGTACAGACTTACACACTTGAATATACAATATATTTCAGATTCAATTTGGTATCAGAGCCTCGCCGTCCCCCACTTTCTCTTGTGGAGTTTCTTAGCACAGGTAGGCTGGGTCTGTTGCATTGTCCACTCTTCAAGCCCAATGGGCTCTCGTGTGAGGGGGCGTGTTGAGATATGTAGTCCCACATTAGTTGTATGTGCAACGAATGTGGAGTTTATAAGACCTTGGGCACTCCCACCCTTTGAGCTAGCTTTTGGGGTGGTGTATCCCAAGGTTCTTTACAAAAAAATTTCCCCATCTGCATTCTTTTCTCGGGCCACTGATTCCAATTGGAACAGTGTACGCGGTCGCAGATGTGGCCGCAGACAGAGGCCTCGTTGCAATTATTGCCAAAATCTTGGGCATTTTGAAGAACGCTGCTATAGGAAGTACCCTCATTTGAAGCCACCGACTGCCAACTTTGCTCAAACTGATGTTACGCCACCTTCAACTGGATTAGTAACTCTTTCAAGTGCCGACTATGAGGCACTTCTCAAGAAGGTTTCTTCTCAGCATCCTACTCAAGACACTGGTAATCATGTTGCTTGTTTTTATCAATCATCTCTTGGACACTGGATAATAGACTCAGGTGCTACTCATCATCTTTGTGGTAATAAAGATCTCTTCACTTCACTTTCTTATTCTAATAACCTACCACCTGTCACTCTTGCTGATGGCACTAAGGCTCCTGCTCGTGGAATTGGGGAAGCCAACCCAACTCCCCTTTTAACTTTGAGTTCTGTTTATTATATACCTGGCATTCCTGTTAATTTAATCTTTGTTAGCCAGTTGATTCATTCTCTTTCACGTACTATTACCTTCTCTAAACAATCCTTTTCTATGCAGGATTCGGGTACGGGGAAGACGATTGGAGCAGGCATTGAGTCACGAGGTCTCTACTATCTGATTGCACCACCTTCTCCAGTAGCCTGTTCTCTCACAGAGTCTCCTGAGCTAATTCACAGTCGTCTGGGTCATCCAAACCTCTCCAAACTTCAGCATATGGTTCCCTTTTTATCCAATCTTAAGTCTTTAAACTGTCATTCTTGTCAGCAAGGAAAACACACTCGCTCCTCCTTTGCTAATAGAGTCAATAAAAGAGCTGATGCTCCTTTTTCTATTGTTCATTCTGATATTTGGGGTCCGAGTCGAACAACGTCTGTCTTGGGTTTTCAGTATTTTGTCACCTTTATTGATGATTTCTCCCGTTGCACTTGAGTTTATTTAATGAAAAATCGTTCTGAGTTATTTTCAATTTATCAAAAGTTTTGTGCAGAAATAAAAACTCAATTTGGTGCTTCTATTCAAATCTTGCGCAGTGATAATGCAAAAGAGTATGTGTCTCTTGAATTTTCTAAATTTCTGGATACACAAGGGACGATACACCAGACTACCTGTCCCCACACTCCACAACAAAATGGAGTCGCTGAACGTAAAAATAGACAACTAGTTGAAACTGCACGTACCCTTCTCAATCATATGAACGTCCCACTCCGTTTTTGGGCAGATGCTATTATCACCTCATGTTTCCTTATCAACCGCATGCCCTCTTCTGTGCTAAATAATGATGTTCCCCACAATATTTTGTTTTCCGGAGCACCTTCTTATCCTCTGCCTTTACATATTTTTGGTTGTACTTGTTTTGTTCATGATCTTACTCCAGGTAAAGACAAGTTGACATCCAAGGCCTTCAAATGTATTTTCCTTGGGTATACACGTTTTCAAAAAGGGTATCGTTGCTATTCTCCTGATCTCAAGCGTTATATCGTTTCTGCTGATGTCACTTTCCTTGATCAGCAGCCTTTTCACTCTACTCAGTCTCCAGTGTCCCAAGTTGATCAGGTCTTTCCTGTTCCTTTTCTTGACTTGTCTTTACCAGCTGCAGGTGACCCTATTGCAGAGGAGCAACTAATTACCTCCATACCTGCAGATCGTCCTCTCCTCACATACCAGCGTCGTCAGCCTGCACCTCCTCCGACTTTGCCTCTTGATGACTCATCGCCCTTTCCTGTCGGCTCTTCTCCTCCGGATCCTCCACCAGAGACTCCTCCCATTGCCCTTCGGAAAGGTATTCGATCTACTCGAAATCCTCATCCCCTTTATTCTTTCTTGAGTTATGACAGACTTTCTTCACAACATTTTACTTTTGTTTCTAGTCTCTCTTATGTTTCCATCCCTAAAACCACAGGTGAAGCACTATCTCATCCAGGGTAGCGCCAGGCGATGCTTGATGAAATGCAGGCACTTCACTCCAATGGCACTTGGGATCTTGTTCGTGCTCCTCCCGGGAAGTCTGTTGTTGGTTGTCGATGGGTGTTCACAATTAAAGTTGGTCCTGATGGCACTGTTGATCGCCTTAAAGCTCGCTTAGTGGCCAAGGGATACACACAGATCTTTGGTCTTGATTATAGGGATATCTTTTCTCCTATTGCTAAGATGGTTTTTGTTCGCCTGTTTCTTGCCCTTGCCGCCATTCATCACTGGCCCCTTCTCCAACTTGATATTAAGAATGCTTTTCTACATGGTGACTTGCAGGAGGAAGTTTATATGGAGCAACCACCAGGTTTTGTTGCTCAGGGGGAGAGTTCTGGAATGATATGTAAACTTCGGAAATCTTTATATGGCCTGAAGCAATCTCCTCGGGCCTGGTTTAGCCGCTTTAGTTCAGTTGTTGAATCCTTTGGCTTAATTAGAAGCAAAGCCGATCATTCTGTCTTTTACCGGCATAGCTCTTCTGGCCAGTGCGTTTATCTCCTGGTCTATGTTGATGACATTATCATTACAGGCAGTGATCAGACCGGGATTGATCAGTTGAAAGAGCATTTATTCAATCAATTTCAGACCAAAGATCTTGGCAGACTTCGATATTTCTTGGGGATCGAAGTTGCACAGTCTAGGCGGGGCATTTCCATCTGTCAGAGGAAGTATGCACTGGATATCCTAGATGAGACTGGCATGTTAGGCTGTAAACCCATTGATACACCTATGGACCCCAATGTTAAGTTATTACCAGGACAGGGGGAGCCACTGCCAGATCCTAGTCGCTACCGCCGACTAGTTGGAAAATTGAATTATCTTACTGTGACAAGGCCAGATATCTCCTTCGCAGTCAGTGTTGCAAGTCAATTTCTTGATTCTCCCTGTGACTCCCATTGGGATGCAGTTATTAGAATTCTCCGATATATTAAAAAGGCGCCAGGAAGAGGTTTATTATATACAAATAAAGGGAGTTCAGAGATCTCTAGTTATTCAGATGCTGACTGGGCAGGTTCTCCTTCAGATAGACGATCCACCTCAGGGTATTGTGTTCTCTTCGGAGGAAATTTGATCTCTTGGAAGAGTAAGAAGCAAACTGTGGTCGCCAGATCCAGTGCGGAGGCAGAATATCAGGCAATGGCAAATGCAACCTGTGAGCTCATCTGGCTGAGACAATTGCTGAAGGAACTCCATCTCTGTGAACAAAAGCCTATGAAGCTCATTTGTGACAACCAAGCCACTTTGCATATATCCTCTAACCCAGTCTTTCATGAGAGGACCAAGCATATAGAAATTGACTGTCATTTTGTTAGAGAAAAGATCCAGTCAAGGGAGATCGAGACAACATTTGTCAATTCCAATGATCAACTTGCGGATGTATTCACTAAAGCTCTTAGAGGTCCCCGAATAGATCATATTTGTAACAAGCTGGGAGCTTTTGATATATACGCACCAGCTTGAGGGGGAGTGTTAGAAATAATATTAATTTATTATTATTAGAATAGTCTAGATTGTGGGCTTGGCCCATTAGGTCATCCCATTAGGTCTTTTAGTCTCTATAAATAGAGAGCCTCCTTGTATAGACTTACACACTTGAATATACAATATATTTCAGATTCAATTGTAACTAATGACTATTGTTCAAAAGGTTTACATTACTATTAAACAAACTAATAATTACCTTCTTCATTTCCTCCGGGGATGAATATTGTTTTCCAGTATGATCAAAAGCTCCAGTGCGAAGAACATATTCCGTGCTCAATGCTAAAGAATTAACCCAGTGCCCGTGTCCCTAAATATGAAGGGAAAAAAAAAAGCATGGGAAAATAAAGACAGTTTACTCATGTCATCACTAAAGAAGAATTAGTGTTGAATATCAGCAGAAAGTATAAGACAAAATACAAGAAAAGTATCTGATGAAAAATATTAAAAAAACTCATCGTCAGATTCCTGTATAGCAGAATTGTTCTTTTGCTATTCCATAATACACTTTGCTTACTTTTTTTATAAAAGAAGAAATTCATTAAGACAGAAAAAAAATTACAAAGAGAATGGAGGATTTGGAATTCTGCTAAACAAAAGAACAAAACAGAAACAACCAAGACAAGATTCAATGCCACAAAGTTGCCCAATCCCTCAACATGGATGAAAATAAAATTCCAAAATAACTTGCTTACTGAAAAAAAAAAAAAAAGTTCTTGTGTTATTAGGCAACATGGATGAACATAAAACCAAAGTATTAGTAAAAGGATTTAATTTTGATCCTGTGTTTGAGTAAACATGTTTAACACTATTATCTACTCAGGTTATTCACACACGAATACAAGATCATTGAAAGAGTTTGATTATCACAATAACTGGCAGGAAAGTCCAACATTTTAGATGATGTATCCACACATAGTATAAAAAAAAAGTTCTTGTGTTATTAGGCAACATGGATGAACATAAAACCAAAGTATTAGTAAAAGGATTTAATTTTGATCCTGTGTTTGAGTAAACATGTTTAACACTATTATCTACTCAGGTATTCACACACGAATACAAGATCATTGAAAGAGTTTGATTATCACAATAACTGGCAGGAAAGTCCAACATTTTAGATGATGTATCCACACATAGTATAAAAAGCTTCCACTAACATTCTGACAACGAATCAAAATTAAACACTTAGTAAAATCCTTCAGATTGAACAAGTAAAATTCCAATAGGCAGCTATATCTGATAAGCATAGAAGCCACATGAAAGATAATATCAAACATCTCCAATGAAGAAAAAGTTGGCAGCAGATGAGAAAGAGGAGTCATGCATGACACTAACCAAGTATAAAACAAGCACATGAAAGTTAAGCTACAAATGGCAAAATATTGAAACCTTAAATTCAGTTCAACTGCAAAGTGAGGAGGCTCACCTTCAGTTCACGAATTAGTTTCCCTTGTGTGGTTTCCCAAACTTTGATTGTACAATCCTGGGAGCTATAATGAAATAAAATAGTTAGGCTCCAAGCTGTACACAGAACTACAGAGAGATAATCAGATCAATTCAGACAAAAAAGGGGAAAACCCCCATGGCATACTCCCAGTCAAAATCAGAATTAGTTTAATTAAGTTTGAAAATAAGGGGTCTGTTTGATTGTGTTCTTTTATTTTTGTTCTCAAAACTATTTTTTAGAATAGTTAATAAAATAGGTGTTTTCTGTGTTTTTTCTTTTGAAAGTTAAAAGTCAAAACACAAAATAAAAACAACTCAGACATGTTCTCTAAATTCATATTTAAAAACTAAAAAACAGTTATAATATTTAGAACTATTTTTACAATACAGGCAATACCAAACAGTTTTTTTTTTTTATTGTTCTGAAAATTAAAAAACTGTTTACATGAGTTAAAATCATAAAATGGGAATTTAGCAAAATGAGTTTTTATTTCCAGCCAAGGGTATGCTGGAATAATTTTCTAAAAGATCAAAGTACAATAGATTTTTTGACAAACGGACTAAAACCTCAGTGACTAAATAAAATACGAGTCTTTTGTATACTTGAATTAAAAACGTCTCTCTCTTTTCTTTTCTTTTCTTTTCTTTTCTTTTTCCACTATAGTTGTCCGTCGCATCTTCTTCTACTCGCTGATCACAACCAATATCCCAATTCATGCAACATAAAAAAATTTCAAGTATAGAAAAAAACTTGACCAATGTTAGAGAATAATATAAACCATTAAAAAGGCTCTCACCAAACACCTTAAGTTTTGGGTTGAAATGGTTCTTTACAACCAACAACTTTAGAGAAATTGGAAGGGGAGAGAGAGAGAGAGAGTACCCTGTATAAATCACACCATCTCCACCCCATTTTACGCATGTTATTGCAAGTGTGTGGCCGCTGAGAACAATTATGCATTTCTTTAAAGAGACATCCCATATACGAGCATCCCCATCTTTGCTGGCACTTACAAAGCGACGGCAAGGAGCATTCAGGTGGACAGGTTCCCAAGAGATACCAGTAATCCATTTCTTGTGGCCCTACATTTAGTATACTTCAATTTTTGTTGTCCACGAAAAATTATAATGGTAAAAAACTCTTCAAACAACATCTGTTATAAAGGTAAATACTCTGACTAACCAAAATAATACTTCATCTATGTACCAAATAAATAAATAACAGTTCCATCTAAAACATTTCCATAACAGTTGTATTTTCTCACGAAACCCTTAACAAATAAAGCATGAATCTTTTTTTTTTATTTTTTGGAGTGGGAGAGGAAGAATAGGGAAGCCCAGTCAGGATGAATAAAAGTTGTGCAATTCTTCTAAACAAAGCATAATGTAAAACAGGTGAGCAAGTAATACAGTGGCGAAGGGGTAAAGTATAAAGAATAACCCAACAGACAGCAATCTTTTCAAAAGATTATGCACTATAATTTACCCTCAGATATCTTGACGGTATTGTCATGATCAGAATTCTTATATTTTAATAGGGAGTTGAGAGCGATTTAATAAATTGGTGAGGATATAACCAACCATATTACTAGGTAGAACATTTTTTGTTGTTAATTACTTAATTTATCTGTAGCGCAGACTTCAATATCAATCTCCCTATCTCATATAAGAACTTTTTTTGTTGTTAATTTAAGAATAAACATTTGATTTATTTATAGCGCAGACTTCACTATCAATCTCCCTATCTCATAACTGGTACTGATCAGTTTCCTTAATGGAAGTAACATTGACAGAAAATCTTTCCATATGAGAAAGCACTTTCTGATTGGACGGTATTTTGTCAACCTCCTTGGCTCCTATTACAAGTGATCATAGCAGCTATCTATTCAAACCCAAAGACTTTTTTTGTTCCTTTTTATATATCTTATATATACACACACAAATAACATCAAGAGATAAGCTACTAAGTCTCAACCAAGCATACACACATATCCCTTATGTGTATTAAAAGAGTTGAATGTAGAAAGAGAGAGAAAGTGATACAAATAGAGAATGCCATATGTCTGAAGACTCTGAACTGATTCTGAATTATTGAAAGAATTAAAGAAGATACAAGAGAGAGTGCAGCACGTTCTATTTATAGAACCAAGAGCTGAGTCAAGGATGACTAAGCAACTAACTAAGTCTAAAAAAGACTCTATCCATCATAACAAACCATAACAGAACACCAGAAAAAATAATCGCATGCAATAAGACGCATAGTAATTACAATAAGCACCATCTAACAGAAAGCTAGAATACTGATCTATTCTACTTATACTCTAATATGTATGCTCCCAACACGCTCTAATGCAGAACTAAGAGGAAAAAATGAAACAAGTTTTATCATAGAAATTGGTATTCAAGGTTAGAGACTTTACAATCAGTGGATTGCTTAATGACTTTCCAGTTTGTGGGTCCCAACACTGAAGTTCCCCAGCCTTGCTCCCACTTACAAGATGCTTGCCATCGGGTGACCATGCAATACAAAGGACCCAGTTCTTGTGTCCTGCACAAAAATGTAAACAACTATATATGGCATATCCTCATTAAAAATGTAAAAGAGCGTATCTGATCAACTATTTGAATTATAACATATAAGAAAAGGAACAACTGCTTGGAACTGATAGGAATCTGATGGAAACAGATTAATTTATGGGACAACGAAGACTAGCTCCTCACAGCAGAGGTAAACAGACATCTGCAACTCCTCAAAACAGAAAGAAAAGATACCACAGGACATTCAAGAGACTTTTAACCTACCTCCCAATCCCAAATCCTCACTCAGTAATTGACTTCCTTCACACTTCCTATCCTTCCCTCTTATATCCTCAATTCCCACCTCCCATTATTGCTTTCCAGGTCAGCATTCGATTATGATCCACACTTAACAGCATGAATATTTCCCATTTTGTCCTCCTTACCCACAGGTTGATCCTCTACTTCCCATTTGGGATCTATCAGAAATAGATTTAGCCTACACAATCTTCCAGAAATTCTTTCTAGCAATGCAATTGCAATCACGAGCATAACGCCACGATTCTAACCTCTTCTTTTTGTGCACGACTTAAATTGATCACTTCAATTCTTATACTGAGAGAAGGACACTTAAACATCAATTGATTATTTTTTGCTTTAATTAAAATGAAGTTATGTTCGGCAGATACCAAGAATAACTTATCATCTTTAAACCTCAAACCTGTGCATGTGTACAATGGAGTCTGAGTGTTCAGGTCCCAAAATCGAACAGTGGTATCACCAGAACCACTTGCCAGCTGTCGCCCATCAGGACTGAAGGCAACAGTCAGCACAGCTTCCCCATGACCTACAAACAATCCCAACTACATTAATTCCAGAGAATAAGACAATAATACACTAATAAGCTAAAATCTTCAAGAGCCAAACCACATTGTTGTTTTACATGATTCAGCATTATTAGAAAAGTAACCATAAGTTTCTTCAGCAGCAGTAATCTGCTGCAACTAATCTTATATCAGTGTTACTGCTCCTGCAGTTTCTATTGAGTTCGGTTAGTACAGAGTCAGCTTCTATCATTTTAGTTTCAGTTAGTTGTTGTTTTAGATCTGTTATGCTTTAGTTTTGTGTTGGTTATTCAGTTAGCTTGCTTTTGCAAGCTCTTGTACATCAATAAATTCAGCTCTGCGGATGCAGAGAATCAGAACCAATAGTATCATCAGAACCAATAGTATCATCAGAAACTCACCCTAACAATGTTCTCTATTTTCCATTATCTCTTTCTACACTTGTATTGCATTTCTCTCATTTTCTTTGAAGCATACACCATCCCTATTTTTTTTGGATAAAATTTCTACATACAACATTGTGACATTATATGTATGGAAGAAAACAATTCATCAGATCCTTCATACCAGAAATAGTCGCCGAACAGCGATTCACAGGACGAATCCGGAAAATAGCTTGAGGCTGACAAACTATAGGTAATGCCTTCTCCACCGAGACTGAAATAATGTTTAATCAACATAAACATTAGTAAAAATCATGCAAACAAGTGAATGAATTAAAAAATAATGACTAATTCGTTGTAATCAAAGGTGACTAGCCTTTTTTTTTCTGCAAGTAAGTTTCAAGTGGCACAAGGAGTTCCTCATCTGATATGAAGAAAGCATATGGTAATTTCTCCTCCTAAAATGAGAATATAGAAAACCAACCAATGTTAAAATAGTAATAATAATAATAAAGAAATAAAATAAAGAACCAATTTATGTAAAATAAAATTGGCAATAGAAAAGGGGGTTACGTTGTTTAGAAGCGAATTGACAATAAGTTGGAGCTGTTGTGGACCAGCGTTTTGAGGTAGGTACATAGGAGCACCCAATGGAGTTCCATCTGGGTCCGTCAGAAGGCACATCACGTTGATTATCTCCCCATTCTCCACTAACGCCTCCATTTTCCAACTCTTCTTTTTTTAGGGTTGAGATTCTCTACTATCTGATCGTGTTCGTTCCTCTTTGTTCAGCTGTTTGCTCCTGTTTGTTCAGCTGAGGGCTCTGTTCTGCTTTTCTGTGATTCTATCTTCTTTGCATTGCTGAAACTAAATTAGATATATTTTTCTTCTTATATGTATTTTTTTTTAAATAAGGGATTTTATAAAAAAATTAAGCTAATAAAAATTTCAAAATAAATTTTTTTATTCTAGTTCAAACTTATAGAAACCCTAGCGCACTTTCTCTCTCATCACTCCATACCAAGCTGGTTCTTTCTCTCTATATTATTCATTCCTCTAGCTTCAATCTAGCTGCCTGTTTGAAAATCATCGAAGCAGAACAATCTCAATTGAAGAAATTATTGTCTCTCTATTATTAACAATCATTTCTACTTGTATTCATTATTCTTTACTATCACACTCTATTTTGAAATTTACTCAACAAATCACAAAACAAAAAAGCGTGGGTTATCTTTCAGTTGCATAACATCAAGGACAGAATTTTACTTGATTAACATTAAAGTCTTGTGTGGATGGCTAAACACCTCTGAAACGTCCCTAAACCATTACATATATTATTAAGATGAGAGTAAAATTTTTCATAAAAACGTAGGGAAATTTGTGCGGCTTAATTAAAATGTTCACACAACACATTACTTTGATTTATAGATTTACATACCAAAGTCCTTGTGGAATCATCCTTTCATTTGATAAAATGCTTACTATGTTCTCAGACTATCAATACCTAACTCATTAGTCAAAGTTTCATACTTCTTGTAGTCAAAGAACACACAGAGCTAAAATTCAGGGCATTTAACTTTCTTGCAACACATTTAAGGGCTGTGCTTTTATAAATTCCATGGTCTCATAAAACAATAATAATTTCAGAGCATGAGTTCAAGGAAATGGGAATAAACAGAAAACTTCACACAAAAGGTAAGTTCTGTGAGCTTTTCGTATCTTGAAATTAACATTTTAAATCGCAGAGCATGGGAAAAGTAAATGTATGCAGCATTAAAACAATCATGTGAGAGAGTTCCATTCCAAGTACGGAAAATAATGAGATTTTAAGTAGGGTTGGCAAAACGGGCCAACTCGGCTCGACCCGGCCCAACCCGCATTCAGCCCGAAAAAATGAGTCGGGTCGGGTTGGCTCGAAAAAAAAAATGAGCCAGAAAACCCAACCCGGCTCGACCCGAGCCGGGTTAGGGTTGGCTCGCGGGTTGGCTCGATAATTAGCTCGCGGGTTGGCTCGTAAAAAAGCTCACGGGTTGGCTCAAAAAAAGCTCGCGAGTTAGCTCGAAATGATGCTAGTGGGTTGGCTCGCGGGTTGGTTAGCTCAAAATATTGGCTCGCTGGTTGTCTCGCGGGTTGGCTCAAAAACTTTAACTTTTGTGGTTTGTTCTCCTGTATAAAATTATTGTATTTTGCAGTCCAACTACAAGTAGAGTAGTTTACAAAATCCAAAAACATTAAATGAAACACAAACCACTCCACTAATCACAGGAGTCATTTATCATGATTTTCTGAATTACTCTAACTCACGATAACCATAAAACGTATATAAAGCCAAAAAATAAAAAATAAAAGAAATCCATTATATATTTCAACGATAAGCATCTAAAATCAAAAGCCAATCATGATAAAAAAGGACCTGCAAAAGCGACCAATATAGTAAAGTCCATCAGTGGAGAATCCATCAGTAAAGTCCATTGTATTTTATTAAAAAAAAAAAAAAAAGAGTAACCCGCGAGCTGGCTCGTTCAACCCGCGAGCTGGCTCGTTTGAGCTCGGGTTGGCTCGGGTCGGGCTAAATCGAGCTGGCAGCTCATTTTTGCCAACCCAACCCGGCTCGTTTTGTGCGGGTTACGAGCCAACCCGACGGGTTGGCTCATTTTTGCCATCCCTAATTTTAAGGCACTTCGTAGAGAATAAGAAAAAAAATTTCTTTCTGGGTAGTTGTAATCCTTCAAGAGATAACCTGGGGACTTTGAAAATTCAGTTACTGATTTGTTAGATTTCTGTTAGTTAGCTGATTCATCTCTGAGTCTCCTTCAGCTCTATAAATAGAGCTTGTAATACATTCTTCTGTAACGAATATTTCACATCTAAATAGTAAATACAATGGGTTTAATACAGGTTTCTCTCTCATCTTATTTTCTCTGCTTTTCTCTCGCTTTCTCAGAGTTTCTCACTGAATTTCATTATTTGCACAAAAAGTAAAAGTTTAAGAATTCTCAAATTTTACATTTAAATATAAGAGTGAAACAGGGAAACTCGGAGAGCAAAATAAGCGTACCTTAGGCAGTTCAAAACGCAGTGAAAAGATAGATAGGAGAAGCAAAACGCAGAACCCAATCCGTGGTGTCAATACGCAGTCGTTAGCCGAGTGAAAACGCAGTCACCAATCCCAGTTGCAACCACAAAACACTGAAGCTGTGACCTTGTGAGAAGGAGACTTAAACATTCAAGTTAGGGTTAAGGATTTTATGAAATTTGATTCTTAAAATTTTCAGGATTGGGTTTGTTCTTTTTTTTTTTTTAAACGTCAAATAGTGAAATAACAAACAAACCCTAGGTAGAGTGTGCCTTTTTTGTTGTTTAACGTCACGAATAGTGTGGTTAGCAGATACGAGAGAATCATTGGACGGGTCAGTTGTCAGTACGCTCGAGTTTTATATACTTCATCAATTTAATTACTTTTCTTATCACTTTATTATTAACTCTGGAAGTTAATAATTTTTTTAACTATTTAATATCTCTATTAACATTTTTTATAAAAAATCTTATTATAAAAGAATTTGTTTAGAAATAATAATAAAAGTTAAAAGCTCTTCACATAAAAAATTTTAAGAAAGTCGACAAAATAGATCAACCCGTCCCACTAATGTTTTTAGAGGTGGCAAAGTCGGGACCATGTCCCGTCTCGTCCCGCCCCGTCATCAACCCGTCAAAAAACAAGTCCGACTGTCTCGTCCCGCTTTTGAAGGTGGGTTAAAAAACTCGGTCCGCTCTGCTCCGTTTGGCCAGCGAAGGCGGGCTGATCCACCCTTCCCTGCCAAAAAAGAGCCTGCCTCGTCCCGCTTTTGAGAGTGGATTGTAAAACTCATCTCATCCCACCCCGTTTGGCGAGTGGGACGGATCAGCCCGTCATGTCGAGCCCGTGTTGCCCGCCCTAGCTGTTTCGCCTTGCTTTTAACCAGTGCGGGTTGACCCGTCATTGGTGAGTTGGTTGAAAATACCAACCTATCTCATTTTAAGGCGGATTGACAAGTCAACTCGTCTAAAAAATAAATAAACATATTAATGCTAGTCTTTTATTTCTAATCTCTAACATCTAAATATTTTAAAAATCTAAAACAAGCATCAAGCTATAACTCAAAGACAAAAGAATGATTTATCGTGTATGTTAATTTTTTGTTATTTATCTGGTTCAAGCGGTTCAACACATGACCCGCCGGTTGAACCAATGACCTGATACCCCGACCAATACGATGATTGAGCAGGGTCTTATAACATTGATTTCGATATCATATTGCCACACTCGTAGATGAGTTGCCCTGTTTTCACTTCTCGTGTATTCAACGAGCAAATTGTTTCTCCATGTTAAGGGAGAGTGTAAATCTATGTCGTTTCATGTTTTGAAAAAAAAATTATAATAAAGAGTAATATAATTTCAAAATAAATTAAAATTAAAAAATACCCATCTAACCTTAAAATTATTGTTTTGAGATTAAAAATAATAATTTTATTTCATGTACAAGGAAAAACTCTTAACTTATTTTTAATTTCTTTTCAAAGTTGATTTATTTTATATTTTAGATAAAACATGGGCTAGGTTCTTTTGTTTGGCCAACAAGGGAAACTTCTGGTAATACTTATCTTTCCAAGTAAGCTATGATTGGTCGCCTCCAATCTTCTGCTTTAGTAATAACCATTATACAACTTGGCCATGGAATACTCTGTTGAACCATTGTTCTATGATTTTCTATATTCGTTGTACTTGTTAATTTGGACAAAATGTCAGCTATGCTATTTTCATTATGGAGAATGTGATTGGTGGCAGCTCCATCAAAATCAAATAAGAGTTCTGTAACTTTGCTCAAATACTTTGCCAACAATGGCCCTTTAGCTTGTTATTTCCCTTCAATTTGTGAGGTGATAAACTGTGAGTAACTGAAAGCTTTAATTTTCTTATCTTTGTGCCCCTTAGCTTGTATTAACCCGGCTATCAAAGCCTCATATTCTGCTTGATTATTTGAAGTTGGGAAGTTCAAATGGAGGGAATGTTCCACTGATACCCCTTGTGGGCTTTCTATGATTATCCCGCCTCCGCTTCCCTTTGAATTATATGAACCATCCACAAAAATTTTCAAGTATTATCTGATTCATGATTCTCTTTACTAGACAAAATAAGTTCCATCACAAAGTCGGCTAATGCCAGAGATTTGATTGCATGCCGAGCTTCATAAGTAATATCGAACTCAGAGAGCTCAACTGCCAAGTTAGTCATCTGTCCTGCAAGATCCAACTTGTGCAATACTTGCCGGATTGGTTAATTAGTTCTGACAATGACTTGGTGCCCCTGGAAATATGGACGAAGTCTTTTTGCGGTGGTTAATAAGGCAAATGCTACCTTTTCAAGTTTCTAATATCTCAACTTGGGGCCCTGGAGTGCCCGGCTAACAAAATAGATCGGCACTTGGCCATGATCAGTCTCTCGCACCAGTACGGAACTCACTACTTCTTCTCTAACTGCTAAATACCAAACCAAGGTTTCTCCTAGTTCTGGTTTTGATAAAATAGACGGCTTAACATTCTGAGCTTCATTCGTATTCTACTTCTTTTTTCAACAATTTGAAGAATAAAGCATTTTTTGTTGACTTCGGCAAGAACCTAGTTAGAACGGCTAGTCTTCCCGTCAGTTGTTGCACCTCATTTTTTATTTTTAGAGGTCTTCATATCTAACACAACTCTGCACTTGTTTGGATTTGCTTCAATCTTTCTACAAGTTAACATGAACCCTAGAAACTTACTAGCTGGAACTCCAAATGCACATTTAGTCGGGTTCAAACGAATACGGTGAGCTCGGAGCTTTGGAAAGTTTGCTCCAAAATGTTTACATGTGTAGCAGGTTCTGTTGACTTGACAATCATATCATCTATGTAAACTTTTTTTTTTTTTTTTGATAACATCTATGTAAACTTTAATATTGTGACTGAGCTGATCTTCGACCACTCAGTTCATCATCCTTTAGTACATTGCCCCTGCATTTTTCAACCCGAAAGGCATAATATTATAACAGTGATTCGCCTTTTTCGAGATAAAAACAGTCTTTTCTTGATCTTTCAAGTACATGGGAATCTGATTATATATGGATTATGCATCCATGAATGACAGCAAATAGAACCCAGATGAATTATCAACAAGATGATCAATACTGGGCATTAGATGAGTATTTAGGACACATCTTATTAAGATCGGTGTAATCCGTACAGACTCTTCATTTCCCGCTGGTTTTCTTTACCACAACCATGTTAGCCAACCACATGGTGTATTGTATCTCCCTTACGATTCTGGCTTCTAAAAGCTCTTTCATATGTTCATCCAATGCATGTTGCCTTTCAGGTCCCAACTGTTGAGTTTTGCTCTTTCACTAAAGCCCAATATGGTCTAGTGTGTAAGAAGAGCACAAGAAACCTAAAGCCCATTCTGCTCAGGGCTAGGATTTCTTGGAATCCATATATATTCTACACTTATAGTCGCTAGCCTCTCAAGTCTTCACTTTGTGGTTGCAGAGGCTGAGGTAAGGTCATCTCCCTGAAAGAGAGAGAGTGCCCACACACTTTCCATTTCCCCTTGAGACATAGTCTAGAAGATCTGCCACAGTACAGTTTCAACCAGGTTGTTCGTACTGCGGCGCTGAGGATATCACTCGTGCTGTGATGCAAAGGACTCTAGTTCGTGGAACATCATCTCGAATCTGCGCTACAAGAGGTAATAATAAAACTATGATGATCCAATACATCCAAATCACAGTGGTCTTAAACGCTTCCGCAAATGCAATTGCTCCTACAATTGGTATCAGAGCAGGATTGTGTTTTTGGATGTGGATCTAGTTTAATTTTACGTTTATCATGTAATTTGTTTTGCTTCGTAAAATATGGCACCTAGGGTTCTATATTTGTTATTCAAATATTTGCATGAGTATCATTGTAATTCTTTTTTATTAAAAATCTATTCTTTATATGGTTTTGGCTTTAATCCATGGTAGAAATTTCCTTGTATTCTCTTGGGTTGTAACAAGGAGGCTAATCCCATATGATTAGGTTTCCTCCTTGAATTTTATTTCAATTTTGTATCTTTTTCAATTTGTATTTCAAAATTGTAATAAAAGAAGATCAAGAAGATGTACAAAGAAGTGCATTTGTCACTGTTTTGACATGTTCGTGACCTTCCGATGGCCGATTTAAACAACCAACCACATCACATGAAAGAGGAAAGAAGGACTAGAAGATCGATGGTCGGAGCATCGCCAAATGAAGCCAGACGCGCCCCCACGCGCCGCCAAAAGTGGCTGCGCGTGGGCCTCACTCGCCGGTACAAATTCGGCGCGTGGAGGCACATGCAATGTCCAAATGGGCTGATTCCGGTGGCGACGGCTTCGTCTACTCAAGGCGGTCCTTCCCCTGAAGTTTCGTGCTGAGACGAGTTCGAGTGACGGCGCGGTAGACGCGACGACCACAGTTCCTGAAAGTTGACTTAGGGTTTCTCGCCAAAATTTGGTATTTTGGGCCTTTGGGCCCGTGGTTACCATAAAAGGGCTTGAAACATAACCTATGGACTATAAGGAAAGGAGCAAATCAGCAGCAAAGTTTCCTATTTGATTACTCTGTAATTTTTATTTTTTTAAGGAAGCTATGGATTAAAGTTTTTATTATGATTAATTGCCTTATTTGTTTGAATAGATGAATTATATGATTGATAACATGCTTTATTGTGATAACATGCCATATACAATAGGTGGTGTCATATTGTTGCATAACTTGTAAAATTATATGAGCATAGTAGCTATTATATCTTTAGCGACTAGTATAATAGTTATTATAGGATTATTTTGACTTTAAATTATCCTAAAAAATTAATTAATAATTATTATGATTTTTGTTAAAAATCTAGATTAATAATTGAATTAATTAATTTTGGATAATTAACATCAAGACAAATAATTGTTATAGTAATTATTTTGATTTCAAATTATCTTCATAAATGATAATTATTATGATTGTAGAAATCTAGATTAATAATTAAATCAATTATTTGGATGATTTAAATATAGAAAAATAATTTTGAAATATGTCCAGAACAAATTTAATAATTTAATGATAGTTATGGAAATTATTTTGATTTCAAATTATCCTCATAAATGATAATTATTATGATTGTTGCAATATAGATTAATAATTAAATCAACTATTTGGATGTTACCAAAAAATAATCAACTATTTGGATGATTTATTGTTAACTATAAACAAGAGTAGTTATGAGAACC